CAAGCCACCAGATCACGGTCTCACAGCTCAGGTGGTCTCTCCTGCAGTGCCACAAGCACACCCTTGCCGTTTCTCAGCCGGATGGGTTGTCCTCTGCACTTGGGATTAGAATCCATTGCTCATCCCCCAATACAGCCCTTACACTTGAGGATCTAGGGTGCTAAATTGTTTCTTTTTCGACTTAGTACCCATAGTACAGCACAGCAGCCACTCTAACAGACCTCCTAGCCCAGAATTTCTTCATGACCCTGCTTGCAACACCAGAGGCCTCCCCCCAAGAAACCACCATCAGGCAGGGAAGGCGCTAACCCTAACCCTAATCCTAGCTCTAGCCCTAACCCAAGACCCCTGTGGTCTCCAGAGGTGCTGGAGGGTGTGGCTGAGCTCGGAGAGTGGCATGCCCAGGGTGGGGACAAGCACAGGGGCCACTGGGGCGAGGTGGAGGCTGCCAGAAAGGCACTCAGGGATGACACTGTGCACGGCACCCCCCTGGGCTCCGTTTGGTTTCTGGCGGTAGGAGCAGCTGGGCAGGGGCCTCCGCGCTGGGGCAGCAGCAGCAGCAAAAGCCTGAGTGAGGGCAGAGCAACGGGTGGAGGCGGAGGAGGAAATCCTGTGCAGCTGCTCACTTGAAATAATGGCAAGATGTGGCTGCATTTGCCTTTTCATGTCTGCAAATAAAATGTATTTTACTCAGAGCCTTAAAAAAATCATGACAAGCCAGGCAGTAATCCCAGTGCTCTGGAGGCTGAGGCAGGAGGATGACTGGGGGCTACATAAGTGAGTTCAAGCCAGCCTGAAGTACATAGTGAGAACCTGCCTCAAAACAAAACAAACAAAAACCCAACAAAGCTGTGTGCCTGGATGTATAACTGCGGTCCAGTTATTTGGGAAGCTGAGACAGGAGGATTTCTGGAGCCCAGCACTTAAAGAGCAGCCTAGGTCATGTAGTCAGATGCTGTTGCACAAACAAGACCAGACAAACAAAAAGGAACACAAGACTCAGCTCATTCTTTTCTTTCTAGTGGAAATTTATCAGCAGATTTGCTAAAGTGCCCTCTATTTTGTTAGAAATCTAATAATGTTTATTTGTAACATTACATGCAATGATTACATATAAATATTATAATTTCGCTGAATCACGCACAGAAACCATATCCAGAATGAAACAGTCTTTGGTGAAAGGTACACATCTAGTTTTGAAAATGGATTTTACACTCCGCGTGCATTAATTACATAGTACAAACCGTGACTTCATTGTAATTCAAATTTTTCATAATTGACTTGTTCTAGCAATCAAGTTAGCGTCAATAAATTGCTTAAGACAGTGTTTGATACTGATAAAGAATGAAATATAGGCTTTTTGGAAAAACTAGAAATACATTTCAATTCCCAAACTGCTGTTACAAAGCGCCAGTGTGGAACAAGGGGCACTGAAACATTACCACAGAGTTAGGACACAGCCAGCCCCACGGGGGGCTCCGACCTCTGTAAATAAAACACAGCGGCCTGGATACACTGTAATTAGTTTAACCAAAGACTGTTTCCCAGAACACTTACAGGAAGATTCCTGGAAATACAGTGCTTTGTGTAAACTTCAGTGGGGCACCATTGCCCGGAGACTGGACACAGACACACACCTGAGCTCACTCACCGTGTCCTTCTTTTCCGACCTATCCCGGGTCGCATCTATCAGCACATCTGTCCAATTCTGTTTGTGGTGCTGTGGACGGGACCCAGGGCCCCGCATGTACTGGACAAGCTACCCCGCCCCCTGTTGAATCCTGATTGCTTTGTACTCAACACTAAATCAGAAACATTTAGAAAACTTTTACAGAAATCTTACAACTGCCCGCAAGTATACATAGGCAAATATACAGACAAAGGAAATGTCTGTTTTCTGGTAGGTTCTGGCACGTTAACTCAGTTCTCATTTCTGTAGGGATGAATGGGGGGGGAGACAGACAGACAGAGACAGACAAAGAGACAGAGAGACAGAGACAGATGTAGGCAGACAGGCAGAAAGGGAACGAGAGATTAAATGTCTTATTTAAGCAAAGCCTTAAATCTTGTTCCTATTAAACCTTTACTTCTAAAGTAATTGTAGATTCTGAGATAGTTACAGATCATCACAGCTTCACATGAAGTTTTAAGAAACAACATAACCCTCCCTTCCCTGTTTTCTACTGTATTTCTCCTCGTGGTAGCACCATGCTAAAGTGGTTTTGTGACTCGGATTTTATACTTAATCGTTCAGTTACAGCAAATATTTCCATCATTGCAAGGATCTTTTGCGTTACCCTTTTATAGTCAAACCATCTTTCTTGCTTCCCACACTCCTTTTTTGGGAAGCCCTAGTTTATTTTCTATTCCTATATTTTGCATTTCAAAATGATTCATACATGGAATCATACAGCGTAGGAGTTTTAAGGGTTGACTTTTTGTGCTTAGGCCAGTTTTCTGGAGTGTTATCCAAGTGGCTGCCAGTATTGGTAATTAGCTACTTCTTTATGGCTGAGTGATTTATTCCACAACTTAGATAACACAGTGCATCTAATTAGCCATCAGATTAATGGACATTTGGTCGTGTCGAGTTTATATTTTTGTTTGCCTGATTTTCTTAAACAGGGTCTCACTACGAAGTTCAGTCTGGCCTCAAACTCACAATGATCCTCCTGCCTCAGCCTCCCAAGTATGGGAATGACAGGTGTGCACCACCATGCCTGGCCTGTCTAGTGTTTGAAAGCTATGAGTTATTCATCTGCATGTTTTTGCATGTACATAAATTTTCACTTCTCAGGAACCAACACCCAGGTGTACAATTGCTGGTCTGTATGGCAACTGTGTATTTTGTTTTTAAAGAAACTACCAAATGGCCTTCAGAGTGGCTATTACAGCAGCAGTGTATGGCTGTTCCCATTTCTCTGCATCCTCGCCGACATCTGGTGTCACCACTGCTTTTTCTCGCAGCAGTTCTGGTAAGTGTAAGTGGTGTGGCATTGTGGTTCGAGTCTGACCGGAGTCCCCTCATGACAAAGATTCTGCATGTCTCTCGCACACTCCCCAGGTAGGTCTCCTGCAGTGAAACGACCTCTCCTGTCCTCCACTGTCTAAGTGGATTCGTTGGCTGAGCTTAGAGTCCTCTGTCTGTGCGGGCCACTGGCCTTTTGTCAGATGTGTAGTTTACAGATATTGTTTCTTGGTCTGTAGTCTGTCTGTGGGTCTTCTAAACATGATCTGTTGCAGAACAAAAATTTTAAATTGTGATAATGTTTAATTTGTCTAGTTTTTCATGGAATATACCTTTAGTCTCAAGTGTACACTCTTTGCTTAGCTTTTAGTCTTGAAGATTTTCTATTTCTTTCTATAATTATAGGTTTCATTTCATGTCTACAGATACGGTCTCTTTGGAGTTAACGTTCGTATAAGGTAAGAAGATTAGTCCACTCGCCCCAGCACATTTATTGAAAAGGCTGTTCTCCTTGGTTCAATTATTTTTTGCCTTTGTGGAGAAATGGTTAAGCACAGTTTTGCGAACTTGTCTCACGTCTCTGCTCTGTCATTCATGCCTGTTTATGCATCCACCAGTAACAGTCTTGAACACTGCTGCTCTTTAATAAACCTCGCCATCGGGTGGAATGATTTCTTCTGCGAGATTGTTTTAACTCTTCCAAATACTGCAAAGCTTGAAACAGAACTTTTAAATAAGTGTGTATTTCTCTGCAAAACCTTGCTGGGGGTTTGATAGAAATCACATTAAACTAAGAGATCGATTTGGGGAGAACAAACATCTTTACTATTTTGAGCCTTCAAATCCATGAACATAGTATCTCTTTTTACTTGTTTAGGCTTTTTATTTCATTAGCATTTAAAACTTCCAACATATAAATCCTGTGCATGTTTAGTTAAGCTTATACCCATGCACTTCATCTTGGAGTGCCAAAAAATGGTACTATGCTTTTAGCTCTAGTTGTCATATGCTCACTGCTGAAACATTCAAGTAGGATTACATTTTCAGGGCTGATCTTGCATTTGGAGACCTTGATGCATTTACCGGTTGTAGGGGCTTTCTAGTTTTTTGCGGGGTGTACTGGGGATTGAACTCATGACCTTGTACTGTGCAGCTAAGCTATATCCCCAGCCTGCTGATTTTTAAAGAATATATTATTTGACATTTTCTCTGTAGACCATCATGCTATCTGTAAATGGGGCTACTTTTCTTTCTTTCCAATCAATAGGCATTTTATTTGTTTTTCTTGCCTTATTGCTATGTTTAGAGCTTCTAGTCTGAAAAATTTTAATCAATGAATTTCTAGACACACGTTTACCTGAATGGGACTCATACGACTCAAACCTGTGAATTTTCAGCCCTTTTCTTAAAGTTCTACCTGTTGTGATTTCCTGCAATGTGGATTAATAGCTGACAAAATTCACCAGTGATTAGAAGCAGAACCCACTCAGTGAAGCCCTCTGAAGCCTCTGGGACCCTTACAGAGCCACAGGGAGCCTGAGAGTGACAGCAAACCCAGTGGAGGAGCATTACCCATAAGACAGGGCCAGGGGGCAGGAGAGCTCCAAGAATAACCGTCTGAGGTTGACTTATGGAGCACTTTTGAGCTTGTGGCTTATTCTTCCAGTTTCTCTCCATCTTCTAAATTGGGGTCAGCAATAGTTTTATAGTCTGAAAATACAGAATACCCTTAAGGAGTTGCGCTATGTTTCAGGAATTGCCACTATTAGGAACTCTTCTGAGAACTGGCCTACAACAAATAAAAGAATACTGCACGTCTTACTATGTTTCAGTAATAGGCACTTAAAATATATTTTGACAACTCAAGCTCTCTTTGTGTCTTATGTTGCTAAATGAAACTAAAACATAATCATTAACACTGGCTTCCTTTAAGAATGTGCATTTCCTATGTTAGTGATGTGTGTTACATTATTTAACACTCCTGACCCACCCAAGAGCATTTACTGCTGTGAAGATAGGAGTTGGACACCACCCGATTCTTTGTGGATTTATTATGGGAAGTCGTGGATACGCACACGTAGGTACTCGCAGGCCTTGGGTGTGTACACAAGTGCAATCTATTTTCTTGCAAACACCAGGCACTCCAGAATAGAATTTGCCAAAAATTTAAAATCTGTAGTAAGAGTCCCACCTCACAGACCCCCTCCTGCTGCACAGTGATGAATCGTGCCTGTGTGGTCAGTCATCCTCTGCTGCAATCACTTTACTGTTTTTTCTGGCTCGGTGACTCTCCGTGCATTTCAGCGATTCTTCTGTCTTTATGACCGGAAGCTTTGACAGCACCACCCATCCACTGTGCAGTCAGCTGCAGAGCGAGACCATGGATGGGGCTGACCAGGGGATGCTGACTTGCCCTCTCGGGGCCTCGGTCTCCTCATCTGTAAGTGGTGAGGATGGCAAGCGCGTTACTGGTTGGAGGGCTAAATGAGGTGGTGTCTGTTAGAGCCTGGCCCAGGGCTGGGGAGGGATCAGAGCCTCAGAACTGACCGCTTCCTTTTTCTGAATCGCCTGAATCATCTTTACTTCCCCGGTTCCACCTTCTTGCATCTCTGCACACCATGCAAGGATGAATTTTTATTTTGGATGCCACCCCTCCGGATGCGGGAGAGGGGGTCTCAGACACCTGAGCAGCTGGGGATCTCGGAAACTTGGTGCAAATTCCAACCGCATTCTCTTCAGCATCCTCTTGTGGCCTGCATATGCAGAACACAGATGTGCATGAAGTGCTGCGGGGGTTTTACACTGTCTGTTGTGTTGCAGTGGGGAAAACTCTGCATGTGATCAATGCATTCTAGCAACTGTGACTCAGTAAAGCACCTGCCACAGAGAACCACGGCGAGTCATCCACCATAGTCCTCTAGCCTCACTTTAAACACAGTACTTGTGGCTGTGGGATGCACAGTCAGCTTCTCTGTGGTGGTCCTGGTGAGCTTTGATCCAATATCCTGCTTTCAGCACAGCAAGCAACGAAAATGCTCTCACGAGACAAAGCAGTCACACTGCAGGACAGGCATGATTTCTTTTTCTTTCTTTTTTTTTTAAAGAAAGGAATGACAGCATTCTTGATGTGCCATTTGGACAGCCCGCAGGTACTTCTGGATAGGTGAGTCTGGATTGAAACGCAGCATAGGTGGCTGCCAGATGGAGTCTCTGAAGGACAGGAGTCCACAGAGGACCCCTCGGATGACCTGAGTCTAGCATGAGGTCCCTGTTCACCTCTCTCGCTCATTCTGCTGCAGGGACGACGGGGCAGCTAGGGAGCCTTCAAAAAAGAGACTGCAGCAGGAGCTGCCCCAGCATCATTAAAAGATTTTCATTTTCCTGCAAACACTGAGGACTTTCTTCTTACTTGCTCAGGCCTTCCTGGGAACGGCTTTGAAATACTCTTCCCTTGAGACATCGGAGACGGCTCCATACCATTTCTGAAGCCAGATGTGCTCTATGTCCATCTTCATAAAGAACCACTCATACTGCCGCGGCCACTTCCGCATCCCCGGGTGCCTGCCAGAGCAAGGAGACAGCATAGTGAAGGAGTTCTGGTCCAAGGGGCGAACCTGGCTCAGCACCTGGCTGATCAGTGGCTGATAGTGAGCCAGGAGCTGTGGGTCTGTTCACAGCAAGGTGTTTCCTGCACAAGCCCAGGACTGTCCATCCAGGCCGAGCCAGCCAGGGGCGCATAGCATGGTTGTCACTTGCCACCTTTTGTAGGTGCCCCTTCCCTTTGGACCCCAACACACACTGTAATTTCTTGAGGGCAGCAACTGGGTTCCCCACTTTGAACTTCATACAAATAAAATTTCTTTCAATCTAAATGATCTAGAATTCAAAGACCAAGTCTAGACTGGGAAAATATTTGTAATGAAGCAAAACCAATTATAACCACTCTGAGCGGAATTTGACAATGTCTGTGGTAATGAACTGACTAAAGAAAGCTGAGGAATTTTCATCGCAGGGCAGGGCATTGCCGGGGTTGGGAAGACGTAACAACAGTGCCTGGGGTACCTCCACGTGGGGCCCCCCAGAGTCACTGCGCACGACACCCTGTGAGAGGTTGGTGGTGTGTGACCAGAGTAGGGCAGCTCTGACCACCTGTCATCTTACAAAAGGTGTCAAAGGTACAGCGCTGACCTCGACTTTTATTATCGTATAATTCTGGGCAAACACATTTACTTTATTTTTATGAGTACATCAATGTATGTGTGCGTACAGTCTGTAGTACACAGTGATGCGTACCTCATGGGGAGCTGGTACACGTACACGATGCACCATATTTCCTTTTTCACCCCCTTCTCCTATCTCCCCCTGCCATCTTTGGGCCAACTAATCCTGGAACCTGACCCACCTTGAAAACATGGCTTGCTTGGCAAATTCGACTTCTTCTGGCGTCACCATGATCATTCGGCCGGTGAGCGTTAACCGGGCGCAGCGAGGGTCTTCTGGATCGACAATGTTTTTTCTATAGATGGAAAACATTTCTTATTTGTTAAAACAACATTAGGTAATCAGCCTGAAAGATGAAGGATTTTATTAAAAATTAAAAAATGGTAGTCACATTACTGATGATATCATTCGGACTTTTATTATAAATTTTCTTCTTGGAACTGGGGATTGAATCCAGGGGTGGCACACTGAGCTCCACCCCAACTTTGTTTTTATTTTTTATTTTGAGATAGTCTGGTTATTTTTTTTAAATTGCCCAGGCTGGCCTCAAACTTGCCATCCTCCCGTCTCAGCTTCCCAGAGTGCTGGAGTTACACGCCTACACTACCACACCTAGCTATCGTAATTATTTAAAATGTTTTCTATAGGTTGTGTGATGGGAGTGTTTTCGTAAATTAGGTCTCGCTATGGCTGTTAGATGACATCTGAAGTCGAAGTGCACTGCCCCAGGAAATGGAGGTTTGTTATTGAGAGAGGATAGATTCAGAGGCTGAGCCTTTGAAAGGTGATTGGCTCGTGGGGCACCAACTCATCAGAGGATCAATCTATTGATGAGTTCACAGCTAAATGTACTGCTGTGGGGTCAGGACTGGTTGGAAGAGGCAAGCCACTGAGGCTGTGATCTACAAGGGCTTATTTCCCTCCCCAGCTCCTCTCTTGTCTCTACTTCCTGGCTGCCAGCCATGAGGTGACCAGCTCTCTCCCTCCATCCCCTTCTACCATGATGTTTCTGCCTTGGAGACTGCTGACCACAGACTGAATCTGCTGAACCGTGAACCAAATTAAACCTCTCCTTTAAATTGTGGGTGTCCAGTATTGTGCATTGCAACAGGAAAGCTGAGTAATACGCTGGACTTGTAGCCTCTAGAAGTGTGAGAAAATGAGTTTTTGTTTTCTAAACCATCTTGTTGGTGGCCCAGGAAAACCTACAGCCAAGATGATAAGGACTGAACGATGTTCCTGAAGCAGGAAATATCAAAGCCTCCCCCGCAGCCTTGCCTGCTAAGTTTGCTGCAGGTGTATTTGCTGTGGCAGTGACAAGGATTACACTGAGATGACAGTGGATTACACATTATGTGGGCAGGCATCAATCTATAACATTTTGAAAGTATCTTTTTGGGCTGAAACTAGAGACTGGCAGTGTTCGTGACAGGTCCTCTTCCATGGAGCCAGAAGGTATAGAAAATGTACATTCACGTGGGTCCTAGAAATGTGTACTTTTACCATCCTAAAGATATGACTAACATCATAGGCAAAGCTGGGCCCATTTTAAGCAGGCATGGAAGGCTGTGGGTGGGATGTGCAGATCGGTTTAAATTTCCATGCCTTGCTACTTATCCATTTGCTTGGTTTCATAATTTGGTTACTGCTGGGGAGAAAAATGGATGCTAACTTTTTCCATCTGTCTTTATGCAGCACATATGTATCTTATATTTTAAAGCATCTAACATGTTTGATCCTCGCACTATTCTTATGATGTAGCAAGACTCCCAACTGGCAGTACTGATGCATCTCAAGGTCAGTGCAGCAGCCCTGTGTTTATCAAACCCTGCACATTCCAAAGAAAGGTGCATCTCCGGGAGGATGGGTCCTTGACCGGCTTTTACAGGACACCTATGTCGCAGAGATACCCCACCCAGTAGGAGTGCTTTTGTGTGCCTGAGGCCCTGAACCACTGCATTGTCTGAGCTCTAGGAGGCTAGGGACTGAGTAGCTCAGATCAGTCACCAGGGAGGGTAGCACCCGTATAACTGAATTAAAGCAAAAGTCTTGTACACAGAGGCCCAGCTCGCTTTTTTAGCTGGCAATACTTTGCACACCTTGCTGTGCCTTTGTGAGGGGAGAATGAAATGCGTCCTCTTGGGACTCCACAGGGAGGAGATACAGCGGTGGGATGGGGTGGGGGAAGTGTCTGGTTTCTCTTGCATTTTGCCTGATAGACCTGGTGCCTCTAACGCTGCTGCCCTGTATCCTCTCGCCACTCACACTGTGGGCCTGCAAGCCCCATCAGCCCCGAGAGGCCTCCAAGCCGATGTGGGGAGTCCACAGATGTGGCCAAGGAGACCCTGACACTTCTTTCCACAGATTGGAGAAATCATAAAATTGCTTTCTTGAGGCATGAATCCCTAAAACTCATTCTTACCCATTACATTACACGCTCGAGAAAGCTACAGCTGTCAAACAAAGCGCTTGTTTTGCTTATATGTAAGCACTTGTCTTTACCTGCCTGGAAGCTTTTCTTTACTACAGACCCTGTCCAGCTGTATGAGTGAGGGCCGCAGTGGACACACCTGTGTACTCAGGTGAGCTGCTTCCTGTGGGAACGCTGCACTCCATTGGAAAGTGTTCTGGTCTGCCATGTGTTTGCTACTGCAAAAATGGAGTTGCTGAGTTGTGAATTTTTCTTGTGGGTTAAAATGAGGAAAAAAAAAAAAAGCCCCGGCAGCATGTAATTACAAGAATGACTGTAAAAACAGAACCTACATTGTATTTGGGGGGGGGGGCACTGAGATGCATAGGAAAAAATAAGAAACAGTAAACAGGAATGAAATTTACAAACTGGAAATATTAGAGTTTGTGTCCACTGAGATAAGACTGTCACCAATTTTGTTTACCACTCAAGTTAACTCATGACAGCACTGGAATTAGCACTCCTAGGTCAGTACAGAAGACTACACTGCCTTTGCATTTTGCTTGTCCTCTGCTGGTGGATACACAGAGTAGAAAGGAGACTACAGATTCAAATAGCTAAACAGAGAACTTTGCATCTCCACAGAAGGAAACACAGCTAAGCCTGGTATCACTTTCTTCCATCTATAGCAAGCAAGCAAATGGCCCTGGAAGACGCCTACCCCTCATCCCTGGGACATGTGAATGTGTCACCTGGCATAGCAAACAGGAATTCCGGCTGCTGGAGAAGTGTGTCATTTCTGTGGCTATGCCTGACCTTGTGATGCAGAGGCTTTTGGAACTGGAGGAAAAGTTTGGAAAGGTTTTAAGAAATGGGTTACTGAAAGCCTTGAATGCTGTGAGCAGAGCTTTATGGGCAGCTCTAGTTGAGGCTTAGAAATATAGGAACAGGAATGCAGACAATCAAATCCAGGCTCATAAGGTTTCAACTGGGAATGAAGACAGTACTGGGAGAAGGACTAGAAACCAACTGCGGTACTTTATGGCAAAGAACTTGTTTCATTTTGCTCATGTCCTCTGTTTGGAGGCAGCTTTCTGTCTATGGGCCTCACACTTCTGGATGTCTTGAGAGCAGAGGCTGCTTTGTTACTGACCGTGTTTTGCACAAAGATGTTTTTAGAGCAAACAGTCCTAGAAGACAGAGCTAGTGTCTTCTCCAGACAGGCTTGACTGTACACAGACCTGGTTCTCCTGGCTCAGGGCTCCTCTCCTGGAACACAGTGCACTGTTTATACAGGCGTCATTTGGCCACTTCATGTCACCCTTTTGGAGTAGGGACTCAGAGAAACAGTGACATAAAATGGGGATACTCTGGCTACTGGACTTGCAGTGAGTAATAAAATCCCTTATCTCTGACCTAGGAGTCTTGTGTCTTCTGCTGGAATCTTTGAATCCATGAATTGGGGCAGGATACCTTGTTTGCAAATAGAGTAAAATCAGAGGCCCTTCCCAGTTATCAAAACTATGTTAGAACAGTACATATTTTGTTGGAACTGAGTTACTTTGGAGCCAACCAGGTAAAAATAATTATGCTGGTCTGAAGCTCTGATTTATAGGTATAGTTATAAGTTGGCATCCATGTAGTTGGTACTGCAGTCCTATGTCCCACACCAAATCTGAGTGTGCTCAGATCCCTTATGTAAATGCTGTAGAATTTGCAGTAGATCTATGCACATTTTCCTGTACACTTTCAGTGATCTCTAGGTTACCTGGAACACCTACTACAAATATGAATGCTATGTAAACAATGGTTATACCGCGTTGCGGAATGATGTGAAAAAGGTGCATATGTCAGTATAAGAGCAATTTTCCCCAAATCTTTCCATTCACGATTAATTGAATCTCCTGATGCAGAACTCGTGGATAGAGATAATCTAATGAGTGAATTAATCCATCTATCTTTCATTACACAAATCAATTATTTAGGCTTGAGGATGTTGTTTAGCATGGACACAGCCCTGGGGTCGATCCCCACCCTTACTCCCCACCCCCAAATTTATTATCTAAAAATGTTATCTCTTATTATTTTTTCCTGTTGGAGATTGAACCCAGTCCCTCATACATGCTAAGCATGTGCTGGTACTGCTCTTTAGCCAGGATGTTTCCTTCTGCCTAGGTTATGGTGCGGTAAGGAAAGAGGCCTTCCTGGACGAAGCTGGGAAGCATCAGTGTCTTTGTTTTTTTGGCTTAGTCCAGGGCTCATCCCTAGCCGGCAGGCATGAGCAGCAGCCAATCCTCCCCCAGGCCTTTCCAGACTCCTTGGTCCCCTGGTCAACATCTTGCCCAGGCCCTCATCCACTCCACCATCTGCTGTTTCCTGACCTCCCTTTCTGCCAGATGGAGCCCCAAAGCAAAATCACTATGAAAGAAACAGTAACTGCTGGCAGCTGGTTTGGGATCTGTGCATCTGTGGGATGGGGGAAGAGTGGGGGAGGAGCCGCTCTCTGGTTCAGGAAGGTGCTGTAAAGATTCAGAGGGGGGAGTGCCAGGTCCCCTCCCCAGTGTACCCCAGGCCAGTGTGCGGATGGTGCTCTGCCCCAATGTGTCTCCCCAAACTCATACAATGAAATCCTAACCCCTAGAGCGATGTCAGAGGAGGTGGCCTTTGGGAGGTGATTAGGTCCAAAGGTAAAATCTTCTTCATGAATGGGGTGCATATGGAACCCCAGAGAGTGCTCACCCCAGCTTTTCACTGTATGAGGGTGTAAAGGCCACTGTGTGAGGGTGCCTGAACCTGGCAGAGCAGCTTCACAGACCCAGACCCTGGCAGACTTCAGGCTCTGGCACCATGAGAGGTAAACGCTCCCTGTGTAAGCCATGCGGTCT